TGTCTGATCCATAAAACTTTGCTGTTCCAAGTCTTTAATGGCTTCCGGTAGTTCAATGAACCCATGAGAAGGACCTTTTAATACTGCGTTAATACAGTAAGTATAGGAAGTCATTTTATGACAAGGAAAGAATACCATTATGATTACATTCTTCTTTTTAGCTGGGCTTTTATGGAAACTACCCAAGAGTACTCTGCTGTAGGACTTAGAACACAGGATGTGCTTGATTAAAAAGGTTCTGGGCGGTTTCCAACTGGACACAGGCCAAGTGCTAACAACCAAACAGAACAAAAGAACTGGATGTCTGAGGATGACATACTCTCAATGGTAATTATATAACAGAAACCTAAGTCAAGAGCTGACTATGTACCCTTGAATTCATGGATGTTGACAGAAAATCCTTCTCAGTTCAATTGGTTGCACCTTATCTGTTTCTGCTTACTATGCCTCAAACAAGCTAATAAGAGTAGACTTGTTGGAAACTGGCTGTTCTGTATCTCATCAATGCGGTGTTATTGTGGACCAGACAAACAAGAAAGCTAGGATTTTCCATATGCCAAGTGTATTGGTTTCGACTATAATACCTTGCTGAGCAATATGTATGTGTGTGTGTGTGCGTACATACACATACACTATGGACATAGACATAGCTATATATCTGCACACACAGAAGGGTATAGAGAACAGACATATCCTTATATTTATCTGTACACGCACACACACACACACATGCATACAGATACAGACATAGATGTATATCTGCACACACAGAAGGGTATAGAGAACAGACATATTCTTATATCTATCTTTCATATATAAATTGTATGGACTGAAATAAAAGCATCACTTCAATGCAACTATTCACACGTTTGTGTGTCTTTACAAGATTGATCCCTGAAGTCCTAGCAGGGCCTACCCTTACCAGAACTCTGCACTCTCTATTGATCCCAAAGCTGTGAAGAGGGTCAAATCATATGTGACAGCACCAGTGGTAGCAGGCAAAGGAAGAAGAGGGAATTTGTCTAGGAAGTAGCAGCACAAGAGGAAGGAGTAGTGAGCATGAGAGTCAACAGGATGCCTGGAAGATGTAGCCATGTCAAAGCCCCTGCCACTGCCAGCTCTTTCTCTGACTGTACCTGTACAGGCTCTGTCCAGGTGCAGCCACTGACTGCTGGCTTCCACCCAGGGCCCAGTCTGGCTTTGCAACCTTCATGCCCCGGGCAAGGACAGCCAGATGGAGGAGTGCTTGCAGAGTGAGAGGTGCCTCTAGGTGGATTCTCTCGGGAATCAGGTAAGAGAGCTACGTATAGACTATTCTCTGTGCCCGTAGGGGACAGGACTAGAAGCAATGGCCTCAAACTGCAGCAGAGAAAATATAGATTGGAGATTAGGGGGGAACTTTCTGACTATGAAGGTAGTCCAGCATGGTGACAGGCTACCTAGAGAAGTTGTGGACTCTCCATCCCTGGAAATTTTCAAGAGCGGGTTAAACAGACCCTTGGCTGGGATGGTTTAGCTAGGGATGATCCTGCCTTGAGCATGATTAGATGACCTCTTCAGGTCCTTTCCAGACCTAATTTCCTATGACTTTCCTATATATTTAAACTTTACAAAAAGTGGAAGTTCATATACAAAATACTTTGCTGGGAAACAATTTAGGTTAACACAGTCACATACCTGATACAAATCCACACAAGCAAGGAAATAGAAAGTTAAGCCACCTGTCAGTACATATCTCTTATTTTTCCACCTAGAGGCACACATCTTGTTACTCTCACAACTGCCGTACACCAGAGGACACATTCAAAAACCTTAATTCTGATCCAGCAAAGATGCCAGGCTCACACACCTCAATTCTGAAATGTCTGTAACACATTGAGAGCCTTGTTTACTGGGGCAGGAGTATAGCAGGGTGTAGTATAAGCTTAACAAAAGCATGATGCAACATTTTGCCGCTGCATGGAAAAGGGGTCTTTTTAAACTGCAACAATACAGCACACTGATAGAAAGGATAGGGGCAAAGGTGCTCCAGTTCCCATCAAAGATCACATGCAGAACTGACAGAATGGATGAGATTCCCATCATCAGTGCAATGAATGGGAAGGCTATACTCAATTAAGTATGCATAAGCATTACAAAATAGTAAAGAATCACTGATTTCATCCAAAAAATTGTTAGTTCAGAGATGCTACTAACAGGCAACAGCAAAAGATGGACAAATCTGCATATCACCTGAAAGAATTGATCCCATTGAGGGAAACATTTGACCCCATTGGCTGTGTCCACACGAAAGCAGCCATGCAGTATGTGGTGCTGCAGACACATCTGCAATGCCACATACCATATATTCAGCTGTTCTCCACACTGCAAGGTAGCAACATGGGGGTTTTTTTGGACCCCAGGGTCATAAAAAAGTGTGCAAAACCCCCCCGGAGCGGTGCACGTGGGGGTAGCGTGCACCACCTAAAACTGGAGCCTGTTTGGCTGGAGCCATACTCTGGCTGCCAATGGCAGGATCAACCGTGCTGCAGCCCTGGATGTCCCCAGGACCCCAGGTAAGGCTTTTGGGGCCAACTTAGTGCTGGCCCCAGCCTCCCCATGCCAGAGGGCACATGGCACAGGTGCTCCCCGCGGACAAGCAGCAGCGGCACAAGGTGTGCCACCGCATTTTGTCCCTGGGGAAACAAACGTCCATGCTCACATGGACGCGGCCACTGAGATCAACATTCACGGGGCACATTGGAATGGGCAGCAGAGGCTAGAAAGCTCATGTGGGCAGAGTTAAGACTGTGGTGTAGTGATGAATGGTGCCAGCATAAACAGGATTTTGTCAGGATATCCAGTACCCCTGGTGCCATGGGTAAAGACATCCAGTAAAGCCATGATATCTTTGATATTGTTCTGTTAAAATACAATAGGATAGCAGGATCCACCAATATTTATTTGGATCATGCCATCTACCCAGGACTACTTGTTAGTGCCACCATTTTTTTTCCCCTCACCCATGAGCTGTTTCACTGCCATTATGCTTATTTTTTTGCCTCGGGTATATATGCAAAACAATCCCCATAGTGGGAACTGTGCATGCAGAGCTCAGGGCAGAAATTGGCCGTGTACATTAAGTCACTCAGCGGATCGCCTCCTCACCAATAACCCTCCCAAAGCCCTATGGAAATGCTTGGAAGCTGCCTTAACAATTTCTCTGCCGCAAAAGGGAAAAAGTGATAGTAATGGCTTAGCTGATCTTCATTTGGAAGCTAAAAATAAAAGTAGCTTTATTGCAGCTCTGATCTGTCATGTGTAAAATCCATCACCTACCATAAGAAGGCAGTTCATTCCAGCAGAAATCTGATTGATAGTACTGGAACTTTAGATCAAGCAGCAGAACAGAGAGCAACTGGTTCATAAAATGTACTCAGTGTCTTCGAGTTTTATATCAGGCTTCCTATAGAGAGCTTTGGTCCCATTAAATGCACTATATACCACTGAGCTCCGAAGCACTGTTCTTTTGAAATTCAGCTTATAACTATAAACCATGATTGACAAGTCTATTACTGTTGGTTACAAACTATTGAAATATTGTATTTTATGGTATACTCGCCAAAATATTTTTCACTGTGGAATCCAAACACGCTTGCTTTAGGAGAAAAAACCATTTAAAGATGCAATAATATTTTTTATGTTTTACTAGAGAAGGTGTTGGATGCACACTTTGCATCACTTAGGGGGTTCTGGAACATGAATTTCTTATGCTGGTATCAGGATCAGTGGACCTGGTTGACTAGGTTATTTTTAACAGAATCAGATGATCGTTACCAGAAATAGGAGTAAGAAAAAGGAAGAACTAATTTTGGAAAAGTATCTTACTCATGTGAGCCAATTTGTTACCATTAGCAACACTTTCTAATTCCCATTAAAATGTACAGGGTGACATGTTTTTGGAACTTTTCCATACATCCAAAAGACTTATCCAATTAAATTGAGAGAGTCAGTGTTTGAGCCCCCTATTACAAAACCCTATTCAAGCAAGAAACTTTAGTCACACAGAGCAGCTCCATGGTTTGATTTCCAGAGGGTTGGAGCTGGGGCCATTAGTGTCGGGTAATAGGTACAATGGAGTACAGCGCTTAAAGTCTAGTCTTAGCTCTGCCAACGATTTATCATCAGACCTTGGGCAAGTTACTTGACTCCACTGAAACCGTGTCCGTACAAAAAGTTGCCCTGGTTTACATGTACCAATTAAAAACCTTTAGGTAGACACTATTAAGTTTATATAACCTGACTTATATTGATTCAAGTTACCAAATTTAACTGACTTGGCTAGATGTCATTTGGGAGAGACACAGAGGGATACGCAGACTGTATTTAGATCAGTGAAACTTTGAATGGTACAATTTTAACAACACACCAATAGTTAAAAATGATACAACTCTGATTTAAAATCAGACCCAGGCCTCAGCTTTTTTGAACACATTAAAAAATTCATATGTGAAACAACAACTGTAATAGCATTCATCATTTTCTTTAAGTCCTTGACTGCCAATTGTTCCAGACTGTATAAAATGCAACATCTAGTCTTTCAATGCCAGGTTAGACAAGTCTTTCACATGCATTTTACTTTCCTTTATTAAATAAATGTTAACATCTTGCATCATCATCTGTTCATTAGACTGCACTTTTACGGTAAGAAGCTTATATCTGATGAGAGAAACATGACTGATTTCCTTCTGGCAAGCTGTACAAATAAAACTGGTGTTATTTTTGCTTAGTAAAAACTCATCTTTTGTACATACCTCTGTTAGTTAATGCATCAGAAGAGGAAATAGTAATAAGTACTGATGACATAAAACTGGTTTTTGGCTAATTTTTAAACTATGAGAACACCAAAATACCAGAGCAAGATGATGGAGTGAGTTAGTCTCAGGTCCCTTAGGAGATGGAGGCTTTTTCCCTAATATACATTCAGAAGAAAATTTAAAGTTGGGAGCGCCAATACTTACGACTTCTGTGGCACTGATTTGGTTGCCACTTTTCCTGTTGGATCATTCCACTCTGCAAACAAAGGAAACACATTTCCAAATGTCAAAAGATTACAGTAAAAATAAAAATGTGCCCAAAGCTTTTCAGCCCATCTAATTATACTTGGTTTCCCAACATGCCACAATGCATAATGTGTAATAAAAAAAACAATGGAACTGATCTGCATTAGCATCAGAGAAATTAAGTTTTTCATCCTTTGTTTTAATGATGTTAAGTAGTTTGAAAAAAAAAAAAAAAGGCTGACTGTTCAGGCTAAGGACAATAAAGACTTACTTTGTGCATTGTATCCTGAGGTCAGATGCTGGGAATCCTACAACAAAAACACACAAGATGTCAGCATTAGTTAAATGAGTTGGAGAAGGTGGATGCATCTCTCCTTGTTAGACTAAAGGCACTAGCATTACGTAAACAAGCAGGGGATCACACGGGAGCGTGCATCTTCTGAGATGACAACACTGGCATTAGCCTAAAGCCCACATTACCTATACAGAAGGAAAGCCACCGCTGGGGCATTTTCACTGCTCAGTTCAGAGCCGACTTAAGGGCCAGAGGGCCAGATCCTCAGCTGGTGTAAGTTAACTTAGTCCCATTGTGGAGTCACCATGCTGCCTGACACCAGCTGATGATGTGGCTTTTTAGTCTTGCCCATAGATGTGTGCATGTGGTTCCCATTTAAGACAATGGGATGCATTTGAATGGGTAGAGTACGGCCCTTAGACTTAAGAGAATTTTTTAGCAGCCTTACTTTTTCCTTTTTTCTCCCCCCACCCCTTTTTGTCTTATTTCTTTTGGACTGCGCTTGCTTAAAGATGTCATTAGCCAACACTGATCCTCCAGATCTTGTCAGTCACCAAGGGCAAAGACACAGGAGCTGGATTTTCAATTGATGTAAACTGGTGTCACTCATATGCAGGCAACAGAATCACACCAGTTTCAGACAGGCCCACGGTGCCTAGCACAACTCAGTGCTTCGCTAACAACAGACTTCTTGTTCAGTCGCAATAACTTCAAGCTGCATTCCTGATTTGCCTCGCTTGATGCTTCCCTTGGTTTTTCAATCAACAGTAAGATATAACCTGATGCCAACTCAGCCTTCATCCCAAGCAGAACCTAATAGATTTTGATATTTTTAAATTAAGGTATTATTTACAAGCCAGTCCCCCAGCCAGGTCTTACTTTGTTAAAAGCATTAGAAACTGTAGGTTGTTAAAGTCATTAAAACCCTCCCTATACTTCCTCTTAGGGCATTATTAGTTCTTAATATTGTGCTGCACAGCTAGGCAGTCCCTTGTGAAGTAAATCATGCCTTAAGAGTAAACATGGCACTTTACATGTGAATGTCAGAGGGATAAATTGTTGTGATAAGATCCTTCTTTTCTATTGAATTATTTCATATATTTTTCCTATGGGGATACTTACATTTTTTATGCAAGATGAGGACCTATTATAAGGCCTGCTTTAGGTTTATAGGGCTGCATAGTCCTCATGTTGTGTCTAAAACTATAATTGATTTAGTGGACTGTTCTGAGTAGGGACTCTGCTGCTATATTTTTTACAGTAAAACTAACTAACCCAGAGACATTTATGTGCTCACCTATATCCTAAAGTATAATTTTTAAAAACCTAATTTATAGTTCATATTAAAGTGATATGGTCAAGAATTTTAGATCCAACATTCAACCTGCCTAAAAATGATTAGACTGGATGTAGACTTTAATTTTTCTTTTTAATCTACCATAACCTCAAAGAGGAATTAAAAAAATAAAAAAGGGAAACAAATCTCTAGTAACCCTGGGCCTGCGATTACATTTCTGTCACTGAAGTTACTGAAGGTGTGCTGTGCATGAGCCAGTTTTTGCAGGGCCTATTAAAACACATGCATTAAATTTAGTACTGTTGCAAATTAAAAAGATACAACTTCCCATAGGCTCAAATTATCCCGTTACTGGCATAGACGAGTGTGTGAAATGGTATGCGCCTACTATGACCCAACTGCATTAACTGGAGAGGAATGAAGGCTATACTGAGTAATAGTAGAGTTTAACAGCAGTATAAATGAATACAATATTTTGCGTGGTTAGGAGCTATACCCACATATGAAACTGTCCAAAGATCCTTAGTGCCTCGGCACTGAATTTGTGTTGGCACTGTCACTACGAGAGCACTAGCAAAGAGGTTTTGTTAGGCTTTGTTCTACGCTTTGATTTGTCTTGTTAAATAGTCATATTCATTTCACGCGAGCTGCAGTCAAAGTAGGGGGAAGGTGTCTAGGGGTGGGCAACTACTAGCCAAATTATTAGAATTGATACACGACTGGTTGAGCAAAAGGGGCAGTTTCTATTGGATTCAAGGCAGCAGAGCTTTTAGAAATGTCTTTACTTAGTCCAGCCC